TAATCGAAGGATAGAGAGGGAAGTCGTATAAGCAGAGACTGCAGGACCTTGGACTCTTCTCCTTGGAAAGAAGAAGACTCCGAGATGATTTGATGGATACATTCCAAATTATGAATGGCCTATCAGGGACGGATCAAGCAGTGTTCTTCGAGAGGATGGAAAGCGATACTAGGGGCACATGTACAAGCTGAAGAAAGTGCGCATGAGACTAGCGGTGATTTCAAACTGCTTCGTCCACAGGGTAGTTAACTCATGAAATAAGTTACCTCAGGAGCTGGTGGAGCTAGAGGGCGTACATCCTTTCAAGAAGGAGCTCAATAAGAGCTGGTTGAACTCGTTTCCGGGAGTAGATGCATAGGTAAATGTCTGGAAACAGTGGTAGGTTTTTTCAATTACTAACCACCCCAACAGGGAAACCCTTCCAAATGTGAGGTCCCTTGCTGAGCAAGGGGAGAAGGTAGTTTTCTTTTCTCTTCTTTTGCAGAGGCGAAAATGACTGGGACGAGAAGGAACTCTGAACGCTCAATTGGCCGTGGCCGTCTGCTATCCTGTGCAAACTGAAAGACTTATCGACTTTAAGACTGAAAAAGTCCTTCAGACACAAAGTGGAAGCAACTGTCGTAGCACCAGCGATCCAAAGAGCTCATCAGTGCGAGAAGCTCGACATATTGTCACGCCGTCGATACGTTTTGTTAACTGACCTGAATTGACCTGAAACAGCTGATGAAGGCTAGGAAATACTGATGGGTTTGCCTTGATACGATCAGAAATTTATCTTTTTTATGCGGCGCTTCGTAGTGTAGGAAGCTAAGTATTTACACAAAGCTGATGGAAGCGATATTACACCTGAAACTTCCGCCTTTCAGAAAAAAGCAGAACGAACTTTTGACTGCATTCATATTGCTCATTCTCGCTTGGTAAGCGACAATACGGCCCTCAGGCGTGTACAACGGAGAGCGATAAAACTTGTGCACAGCTTGTTCTCCACCCAAACCCTATATGTCTCTCCATATTTAATCTGTACCCCGTTGAAACCCGCTAGATAACAGGTAACATCTTCCTACCCGACAATCTCTTCAAGTGCGGCAGAGTCGACTTCTTTTTAGCCACTAGTATGGATAATCTTCGTGGGTATAGCATGAAACTTTTCAAACTGCATGCCTGTACACTAGTCCGACAGTGCTTCTTCACCCATAGGGTCATTCTTCTTTGGAATAGCCTCCCCCAATAAATATTTTAGTGACTAGGCGGTTGTTGATGTTCGTTTGAACCTGTCACTAATGTTTGCTGATGGTCGTTCCAGATATCCGTCCCAAAAACAAACAGAACAAAGGATTGGGTTTGTAGAAACGATATATTCTGTAACTTCCAAAATGTTGGAAGTAATTTTGGCTATGCCTAGGCTGTTATTTTAGCAACGGAAGCGGAAACCTGAGAGTAGATCTGATCAATTCAAGGAAGGCGTGCGATACAGAGCTCACCGTGGGGAATGGTGTCGGTGCGGTCTTTTCGAGCTCAATAAAAGTACGATAATAGTTAAATCAAACCTAATTCTGGAAGTGTCCAAGTGGCAGTATCTAGAGAGGAAACTTCCTCTAGAAGATCGATATCGACCAATAATGATGATACATGCAAAATCTCGATAGTTGATTGTGCCCGGTAAAGAAGAAGGGTCCATATGTTAGAAGGAAAAGATTAACGGTAAAATAGCTTTTGTAATTAATCAACCTGATCGATAGGCTAAGTCACTACTTGATATCTGAACCTTGATGGCTCTGATAAGTATGTCATGATTATTTAACCATATCCTGATTGTCTTCAGTTATACAGGACTGTTTGGAAGCTGAACCTGTCCTGATGCTAGTCACCAGCTTAGAGTGAAGGTGCTACTGGTCCGTGATTTGATGATCACGTCCAGCTTGAATGGACCTACCAGGAAACTTGAGGAAAATCAAAAGGCAATAGAAGAATACTGCCATGGCAAAACTGTCGGCTAAGGAACGGACACAGTATGTAATGTCCTACAAATACCGCTTTCCAAAGGAATCTATACCTGTACCTTGGTCTAATTCCTGATCGGTAAGATCTCCTCGCCCCATGGTTTTGTAGTGGAAAAGATACTACATATACGAATAATAATGAAATAAACGGTACGAGGAACGGACTCACAGAAGGATTGTCCAGCTGGTTGATTGATCCTGTTCTTCAGATGTGTGGCTCCGGTCGATGGGGTGCAGTAGAGCTGAAATGGATGACTGCGACGGTTAACGGACCGCTTGACGATAACTGATAATGATTGCGTAATGCTTCAGCAGCACTCGGAGAACACGTGCGAAAAGAATTTATATTGTGTCGTAGGTTTTGTGCATATTGAAACAA